AGCAGGGCTGGCCCGAGCTGGCACCCACAGGCCACGACTGCGACTTGGGGATGGAGCCCACGGTGAGCGGGTAGGCGAGGTCCAGGCGGCGGCGCAGGCGGCGTCGCCGGCGCGTCTGGCGGTTCATCTGCGACATGCTGTTGAAGTAGATGAGGTAGCAGAAGCCGAGGGACGAGAGGTCGAGCCACGGGTGCTGCTTCTCGTAGGCGTTCTGGATGGTGATGCAGATGTCCATGTCGTAGGCCGTCCAGGCGCCGCCGTCATTCTCCCATTCCCACACGATGCCCTTGCCCGGCGCTGACGACGGGTCGTAGAAGTTGCGCCGCACGGGCCGCATGGTGCCTGTGCCCACAAGGGGGAGGAGTTAGGACAGGCCGGAGGGGCAGGGACAACATGGGGTGGGGGTGGGGGTCAGCGCAGGTGGGAGGGCTGAGGGTGAGGGGAGGTGGGGTAGGGGCAGAAGGGTCAGCCCAGAGGAAGGTCGGGGTGACAGCAACGCAGGGGCTGGGGTGGAGGGTCAACAAAGACGGAGTGGTGTCAAGACAGCATGCAGTGCACACGGGCAAAGCGTGGTGGGGACAGAACAGGCAAGCTCCCCGACCTCTCAGGGTCAACACAGGCCCTGGGGGGCAGGAGAGCCAATGGGTGTGGGGGCTCTTCGCACAAGGTAGGAGAAGCAGAGTCAGCACTTGGGTGGGGACGGAGACCTACAGAGGCCACCATGACCATGCAGCCACTACGGGTGGCATGCAGACCTTTCCTTCATCAGTTCACTCATTCATTCCATAATTCTTTCACGAGCTGATTCATTTCTTCATGCCTTAGTTCACACATTCATATGAACCTCGGTTCATTCATTCAATAATTCATTAGTCCATTCGCCCACGCCTACTATGCTTTTCATTCACACCCGCATTTATTCTTGCTCCTTAATGCGCTCCTTTATCTATGTGTTCAGTCATTCCTTCATTTTACGACTACCCCGCTAAAAAACGTGCACACCTGTCTGTACGCTTCCTTTTCCTTCTCTTTCTCTTCTCCATTTTCTCCATCTGGTATAATTTTTATTTTACCTATTTTCTGTCTGTCTCCTTTCCCTAGAACGTCACTGCCGCAAGGTAGGGACTTTGTTTTATTCACCGCTATATCCCTAGCACCTGCACACAGTAGGTGCTCGATAGATATTTGTTGAACGTATGAATGAATTCATTAGTTCAGACATTGATCCACTTTGGACTCAATTATTCTTTTATTCTTTTGTGGCTTTTGCCTGTCCCCGTCCTGGCCATCCCTCCGTACACTTTCTGTTTTTTTCATTCATCTGGTTGCTCATTTCATCCTTCCTTTAATGAACACTTGCCAACTGTCTGCTCTTTGGAGGGCTCCATGCTGAGCGCTCATTGGAAAAGAACCTATTAAGACATGATAAACCAGTCAGGTGGGGCTTCACGCCTCCATTTTAAGAACAAGGGTATTGAGGCTTTGCTCCCAACCACTGCTCCATGAAGCTCTGGGTGCTCCTTGAAAGCAAAGCTCCACGGACTCTCTGGGTTAAAGAGAGATAACCCAACATCCAGGCTGTAGGACTTCTCAGAGCCTTCAGCTTGCTCTGTGCCTGGGGCCAGGATGGAGAGATTCTTTGGCTGTGTTCATTTGGCACACCTGCAGGAGACTGCACACTTGACTGATCCTCAACTGTGGGCAAGTCCCTTTTGTCCCCTGAGGCCTCAGTGGCCCCATCTCGAAAATGACGGTGATGCTAATCCAGGACCCACCCCATCCCTCACACACAGGGCTGAGAAAGGTTCGGTGAGAAGAGTCACAGAACACAGGGTGTGGGTGGGACCCCAAGCCTGGGAGGCAGCCAGCTCTGTGACTGTGGTCAGGTGACTTGATGTCACTGAACCTCGGTTTTCTCATCTCTAAAATAGGCATAAGTAGACCCTCCTTGTGGGGTTGCTAAACGGACCGATCAAGATAAATACTGTCTTATCTCTGATGATGCCGAAAGCTGTCATTTCCAGCCACATCCTCTTCCCTGAGAGCCATACTTGTGTGTCCAGCTGCCTTCCTGACACCTTCCCATGGAGGTTCAATGGGCCCGTCAGACTCAGCTCTGCCAAAACAAAGCTCTGATCTCCCCGCACCCCCAAACCTGCTCATCTTGCAGTTACTGGCAGCTCCATCCTTTCAGCTGCTTGGGACCTGAATCCCCCAACACCTGGACTCATCCCTGACTTCTTACCTCATACCCCACATCCAATCTATCAGTAAATCCAGTCACCTCTACCTTCCAATACATCCCTCATCTGACCACTTCTGCTGCCCAGCACACTGATCTACCTGGTCCACGCCCCTGTATGTCCCCCACCTGGACGACTGCCGTAGCTCATGGCCGGGCTCTGCTTCTGCCCTTGTCTTCTGTAGTCTGCTTCTCATGCAGCAGGCAGAGGGATCCCGTTCAGTGCAAGTCAGATCGCATCCTTCCTCTGCCCCAAACCCTCCCAATTCCCACTCGCTGGGAGCAAATGCTAAAGTCTTGGCCGTGACCTACAAAGCCCCATAATTGTCTACAAAGTCCCCCTCTCACTCACTCCACTCCAGCTCCCCGGCCTCCTCGCTGCTCCTCCAATATCCCAAGCTGTCCAGCCTCGGGCCCGTTGCATTTGATCTTCCCTCACCTGGAACACCAGCTGGCCGTGCCCAGACATCCTCATAATTACCCCGCTCCTTTCTTTAAGTCAGTTCAACTGCCACCTCTTTGGAAAGACCCTCCTAGAGACCACCCTCCTAAAAACGGCTGCCCTTCCCTTCCCAACGTCTTACCTTGCTTTAGTTTTCCTTCCTGGCACTTAGCACTGCCTGGCACGATATATTAATCTGCATACTTTCTTTACTCTGTTGCCCCAGCCTACAAGGAGGGGGGTCTTGACCGCTTTGCTCAGGGCTGTATCTCCAGCGCCTAGCACGGTGCCTGGCACGCAGCGGGCCCTCACTATGTGGAACCCCCTGGGGTGCCGGGCCCAGGAATCTGTAGCCAGAGGGGTGGGGACCCACCCTGGTCCATCTCCGTCTCCCCTTGCTTGACCCAGGCTTCTTTCTCCCGAGCGCACACGCCGATTGTCCTACTTGGGTCCCTACCCAGGGCTGGCACAGCTTGTCCTTTACTCCTTTACTCCTATGGACTTTCCCTGCCCCGTGTCAACTGCCCAGACCCTGAGAGCTGTAGCCGTTGATATGAAAGTAGCAGGGTGGGGGTGGGTCCCTGGACACCTTCACGTTCCAGCCAATCATGTGAAAAGTTCCCTTGGGCCTCCGGGGCCGCCTCATTCCGATGCCTGATTTATCATTTTCATTGACTGTGTGCACATTGATTTTTTTTTTTCCTTGACAAGTGTTCCTCCAGGGAAGGCCCAAGAGGGGCTTGGTTAGAGGGAAAATCCTGAGTCCTGTTCCTGCTCTGCTTCCGAGTACCCGCCTTCTCCTCGCAGGGCCTCAGTTTCCCCATCTGCAAAACGAGGGCTCTGTGATAGATAATCTTCAGGTCTCATGTGCCTGGAGTACCGCTATCCGCCTCCTGCTGAGGGTTGAGGCTCTGTGTTTCCCGGAAGGTATGGCCCCTGGCTAGGAAGGGGAGGGATGGGAACTTGCTTTGTTTTACTACCTCTGTGTGCCAAGTCCTGAGCTGATGAGGGGGCAGGGTCAGGGGTGGGAGGCGCAGAGTAAAGTGGCTGAAACAACTCAGAAGTCTCACAGGCCATGTGCAAATCCTGGCTCCACATAGAGCCTCAGTGTCCACGTCTGTGAAATGGGAGTAGTAATGCCTACCCCGAAGAATTACTGTGGGACAGAGTAAGAAAATGTATGGCATAGGTGCTTGGCAGAGAGCTTGGCTCTAGCCGCGCTGGATGGATGAATGTTAGCTCAGACTGCTGTTGTTATTGCGTGGATGACCCACATTCACCCTCTCCCAGTCCTTGTTCCTCTGAGAACTCCTATTCATCCAGCAAAACCCTCCACATGGCCACCTCCTCCAGGAAGTGCTTTTCTGTTCTGCTGCTAGAGCTGGCACATATGCAGCTCTTTATTCCATGCCTATGCTTGCACTGTCATGCAATTATCCGTTTTCGTTCTTAATCTCCCTCACTGGTTGATGACTTTCAGGAGGACAAGGACCAGGTCTGTGTTCCCAGCACCAGGCACGAAGCCTGGTACAGAGGCGGCTTCTGCAACTGAAACTGGCAACCTACTTGGCTCAGGTCAGGCCTCACGGGGAGTGGGAAAGAGGAGGGGTCGGTCTTGTTGGAGAGGGACTGGAGACTGGAGCACGGACCCCTGGCGGTGGGGGTGGGGACAGGGTTCGGAAGGGCAGCATGGGCGAGCTCTGGAACAAAGGACTCTGCGAGCTCCTCCCGGCCAGGTCAGGGCCAGCCAGCCCAAGCAGCCCTCTCTCCGGGGCTCGATTTACCAGGTATCGATTTTCTTGCCTGTTTACGGGTAGTTATTAAAGGCTGCATCCCCGGAGTCCTTTTCAAACGAGATTGGAACCTGGAGAGCTGGAGTAATTAGGGCAGCTGCTGCCCTCCCCGCTGGGCCCTGCACCCCGCAGTGCCCACTGCTGCCCACTGCTGCCCGCCTGCCCACCCGTCCACCTCTCCAGCTCATGCTGGCCCTGGACCAGGCCGAGGGGGGCCAGCTGGTTCCCTGGTGACCCGCCTGGGCTTCGATCTCGAGATTTCCAAGGGAGCAGAGGCGGAAATATCCCTTCTCCTCCCCAGTGGCGTTGGCCTAGATTTTCAGCCAGAACAATGGGTCTAAGATGGGGCTGGAAGTTCTTCAGCCTGAGAGTCAGAGAAGGCCCTCAGATGGTGGCCTGGAGGCATGGCTGGGCTTTCTCACTGACTCACCCTGCTGGTGTCCTTGAGCAGACCCGCCCCCCCCCCCACCTTGGGGACCTGGCTGCGCTGGCCACATGAGCTGAGTCCCCATGGCAGTTAGGAACCTGTGTCAAGCACGGACCATTTCTGTTTTTGTGCATTTGCTTTTGTTGTCTGTCCACCCACCCCAAACACACCCCTCCCCTCTCTTCGTTTCTTAGGAATGTTTGGTTGAAAAATTCCAATCTCGTTCCAGCTGAACTGAGGGGAAAGGGGCTTTGGCCAAATGTCAGCTGGAGGACGGCAGAAGCTGGGCCCCTGAGACGGGGTGTGGGGGCGGTCACGGCCACTGAAGCCAGTGACCAGTTCATGCCTGAGACAGAGACAGTGAGCGAGAGAGAGAGAGAGAGAGAGAGAGAGAGAGAGAGAGAGAGAGAGAGAGAGGGGCAAAGAGACAAAGAGAGA